CTGAGTTCCAGCCAGAGCTCTCTGTTCAAACAGGCCGGTCTTTTCCCCATCAGCTCATCTTGCAGCACACTGGGACAGCCTGCTCCTGTGCCTTTAAGATTGCCTCCTTGAAGAGTGTCCAGCCTTCCTGGACCTCTTTCCCCTTCACAACTGTTGGGGCCGCTCTCAACGGGCGCCCTGAACAGGCCAAAGTCTGCCCTCTGGAAGTCCAAGGTAGCTGTTTTGCTGTCCCCTCTCCTTACATTATCAAGGATGAAAACTTTATCATTTCCTGATCGCTATGCCTGAGATGGCCTTCAACCACCACATCTCCCACCAGTCCTTCTCTTGTCTGTAAAGAGCAGGTCCAGCGGGGCATCTCCCCTAGTAGGCTCACTTACCAGTTGCATGAGGAAGTTCTCTTCCACACACTCCAGGAACCTCTTGGAGTGTTTCCCTTTTGCTGTGTTGTATTTTCAGCAGACATCTGGTAAGTTGAAGTCCCCCATGAGAACAAGTGCCAGTGACTGTGAGACTTCCACCAGCTGCCTGTAGAACACTTCATCCACTTCTTCATCCTGGTTGAGTGGTCTGTAACAGACTTCCATTGGGATATCTGCCTTATTGGCCTTCCCCCTGATTTTTATCCAAAGGCACTCGACCTTATCATCACCATCGTTAAGTTCAAGACAATCAAAACACTCTTTAACATATAAAGCCACTTCGCCTCCTCTCTTTTCTTGCCTATTCCTTCTGAAGAGCTTATAGCCATTCATTGCAGCACTCCAGTCATGAGACTTGTCCCACCATTTTTCCGTGATGGCAACTATGTCGTAGCTTTCCTGCTGCACCATGGCTTCCAGCTCTTCCTGTTTGTTGCCCATGCTGCGTGCATTGGTGTAGATGCACTTCAGCTGGGCTATCAATCTCCCCTCTAAGACTGGCCTGCTGCCCCTAGGCTCACCTCCAGCCTTCAGGGTTTTATCCCCATCCCCCTTCGGACCTAGTTTAAAGCCCTCTCAGTCAGCCCTGCCAACTCATGGACTAGAATCCTTTTCCCTCTTTGAGACAGGTGAACTCCATCTGTCATCAGCAGGCCTGGTGCCATGTAAACTGCCCCATGATCAAAGAAGCCAAAATTCCACTGATGGCACCAGCCTCTGAGCCACCTGTTAATCAGATGGGTTTTCCTGTTCCTTCTAGTATTCTTCCCTGCTACTGAAGGGAAAGTTTTAATATGTGGGAAATTATGTTATTTTTCCATCTAAACATCTTCTGTATTCATCATATTGGTGTTACTGTGTTACTAGTTGAAGTAAAAGAAGTGGAGTATAGAGAACAGATTGAGAAAAAAGAAGTGGAAATATTAGAGCTAACAAGACAGCTGAAAATTCAAAATGAAGAGAAGCAGAATGAAATAATTAAACTGCAGATAGAGGTATGCATTACAAAGCTGAGTTAAAGATCAGTTGGGTATTGAGTAAACTTGGAAAAGACTGTGTAGTGAAAAATGTTAATTAGTACTTAAAAAGGTAATATGATGTAATCTACAATACTTAAAAAACAATTGTTTCTACAAAGGTCAGTGGCATGTGCTGCATTCCATAATGGTAACTGAGTCGCTTCTGCTCAGGAATCGAGTTCTACTTATTATGCAGGGGGACTGAAGTTTTCTGTGTTCTTGTTTTAAATTAAATTACTTTTAAAATTTTGCTAGTTTTTGAGCTGTAAAAAAATTAAACAATGTTTTCCACTTATTTTTATTCCTTTTAATTTCTGAATGCTGGGAAAGTATTTTTTGTAATAAACTTCCAAGAGCTTAAAGACTTCTAATCCTGGGGACATTTGAGTCACATAATTTAGCATGTATTTCATGGCCTAGGTTTTAAGCCACCCTCACTACACAAACAATTAAGGAAATACTTCAAACCTTTCACATATCAAAAAAGAAATAAGGTGTTAAAGTGTTTGGACTGAGTTATCCTTGGAATGTGAGGGAAGGGTTGTGGTTTCACAGGTTTTTTAGCATCATCTGCATTTTCTCCTCCTGCAGACATGTGGCTGTGGAGCCTTAAAATTATTTTCAGTAGTCGCCTTGTTCATCTAAATGTGTTTGGTTTATCATAGCTGTACTGTTTACTTTTTGCAATATTTCGAGGTATTTTTTTTAAGAAACATAACTTGTAATTGCATTCTTTTTAAAATAAACTTAAGTAGCTTCATTATCCTAGGATTAAATTGTAGATAAACTTGCTATTACTACTTTCAGGTACAAAATCCAATTAAAATAAAGTGAAAACTATACTTGTATTATTTAACCTACTTTTTTTCCTGTTGCTTCTTAATGTTTTGTCTTTTCCTGATTTTTTCAGTTCAATGCTAAATTAGCAAGAGTTCAGAATAAAACAACAAAATCATTTTCAGATGCTTCTGTCTTGCCACAAAGTATCTATCGAAGGGTATGTGCTTTAATAGCCTGTAATCTGCAGATCCTAAATACTGTTGCAGCCTGTTTGAAGCAGCAGTTCCCTGCGGTTTTTTCTGTTTGTTTTACAACAAAACTTGCGGGATGGGGGAGTGTGGTGGGGCGGAGTTTCATACCTTAAGGTCCATCTTAGTCACTCTGTCACACATCCCTCCTACCTCTAGACAACTAATTTCATGTCTCTTTGCACTGTTGTTGATATAGCTGGGGTTCAACAATAAAAGCCCACATGTGAAGTGATTTCAGTACAGAATTGTTAACCTGGGAACTTAAGATAAAGCTGATGTAAATGACTGTGATATAAATTATATATATGCATTATTGTTTTTCTAGGCTTAGGACTTTGGGATGTCACAAAAATAGGATTCTTGGGAAGTCATCATTGTAATTTTGTGAATATTTCTCATTAGTAATAGCATATTGTATTGTTACTTAATTCTATGTGATGTTTAACCACAAAGCTTTGCTTGCATTTTTACAGAAACTGCAGCATCTCCAGGAGGAGAAAAACAAGGAAATTGAAGTTCTCCGAAACACCATAAGAGACTTAGAGCAACGTCTCAATAAAGGCCAAGACCTGCATTTCAAACGGAGGCGATTTTGAGTAAATGACATGAAGTTTTTCAGTAGTATGGACAATCAGAAATAGAAACAGTATATTTCAAAGTGTGCACCTGAAAGTAAGAATAAGATATGAAGAAATACAGAGTATTTTTTATTGAAATGCTCTTGTCAAATATTCCAAAGGCATTCATTCTGTGCATATTCAGGGCTACTTTCTTGATAATCAGCATTCATGGTAAAAAGATTCAGCTTTTGTAGGGGTAATAATTTCCCCATTAAACCACATTTATTAAAGTGTATACTTTCAAAGCAGTTTTCCTTACTTCAATAGTCTCTTCTTCATCCAGGAATCCTTCGAACAACTATATTTTTACTTCAACTCAGTTAATCAAAGGTTAGGAATGCTAAGCTACAAACAGAGAAGTTTTACAAGTTTAAGTGGTATATTACCTCACTAATCAATACAGTTGTATCAAATTTAGCACTGTTATAAACAAAGATAAACATTGAACCAAGTTTAAATTTGTTCTGCCCCTCCCTCTTTTTGATACTGATTGTGCAGAAAGAGTTGTTAACAGTGCTTCTCACTTTAGGCACGATCTTACTGATTTAGTGGGATTTCACAAGCAGTAGTAGTATGTATTAATAGTAGTATGGATCCTGATACCATCCAGAAAAGCTAAGCATATAAATCTGTTGCTTTAATATAATGCAATTACTGTTTGCATCTTACATTTGAGATAAAAAGTTACTTTGGCACATTACTTAGGAATAAGCTTTTCTTGTACCTAATTTGTATTCCTAGGTTAGGAAAAAACAAACTTTTGAATATATTCCATCTTCTTAATAAAAAACGATTAAAACGTCTGTTTTGGTTATCTTCTATTCTTGATTGCAAAACATCAGACAGGAGCCCCTAGGTCATAGTTTATGCTCCTGTCCTCACAAATGCAAGCAGAATGTTAGAAGAGAAACAAGAAAGACAAATTAATCAAGAATGTAGACACCTTCCCAGTGCAACTGAAAAACAAACTATGGGTCAATTGAATTCCTTTAAATTGTGAAGCTTTTCAGTGATGGAATTTGACAGGTATTGTGTAATTCTAAGACCACTGCTCTAAAAGTCTACTTCTTTGCAATATTTTAACTCTACACACCTGTCATATAGTCATATAATTTTTAAGTGGGGGCAATCAGAACACTTAATCCATTCATTTTTCCTCTCTCGCAACTATATGAATTTAGGTAGTAGGACTCCTTAGCATTTTTAAGGTGCTTAGTTTGTTTGTCAGGCTCAGCTTGTTGTCTTTTCCTGTCACTGTCAAGTGTCACTAGTTTCACTTGCTCCTGCTGCTGGTGACAGTCAGGTGGCAGGGAGCAGACGTCACTGTCAAGATTCAGTGATGTTCTCTCCTGACAGCTGGCCATGTCACCTGCAAAAATTTGGAGGTGCTCCACGACACTGTCAAGTGACAGAATTTCCTAGCTCTTCAAACAAAAGGTGTCGACAATGACAGCATCAGCTCCTAGAAGTTGAACGTGATGCTGTCTGCCAATTTCAAGTTAACTGTTTTTTACAGCTGATTCTCCCTTGTTTTCATAGCCTTCTATTTTGTGGAATTTCCACACTTTCTTCTGGAGGAACAGTGTCTACCTGTTCATGTCTACCTGTCTGATTATGGCCAAAAATTCTATGATGCTGACTGCTGTGAGGATGATGTCTTTGAGTTTCAGAAGGAGCCTGATCGTTCTCATTTTTGGCATGATGACTGCCTTCACGATGGTGGTGGTGGTGTCTATGTCTGTTGTGGTGATGTGAATGTTGATGAGTTGGTTTGGTTTCTATCTCTGCTAGCTTTTCATCTGCTTTTTTAGTGATGTTTTCACATATACCATCAGTATCAGGTTCCTGCAAAATAGAAGCTTGCATTAAATACAAGGCATTATATTTAGTTAAACTAGTTGTAAAATATTAATTATCTTAACATTTTTGCAGAACCTGAAACCCAATTTTAAATTATTTGTGCTACTTTGCTGAGGAAACATATGAATGTATCAAAAAGAACCTTATTTTACAACAGGTTAGACAGGGCTCTTAATGAAAAATTTTAGGAACTATGATTCAAGTAATTGCTAATAAAAAGTATTCTTTTTCTAGGATCCCACATACGACCTGCCTGAGCCCTACATTTAGCTGGAAAACCATATGATGGGATCAAAAATGATTCTTCTCACTGAAATTTCATGACCATGTATGTACATTTCTTGATAATCCTTAAAGTAGCTCTGATCTTTAGTTATATGTAAAACAAAGCTACCCTTCTTTTATAAGAGTAACAACAATTTGTCAGCTTGTATTACCACTTTTTTGAAGTAACTATTGTATACTGTGTTTAAATGTAAACTAAAAGGAATAGTAACTCAAACCAGCTCAGATTTGACTCCCAGGTTTTAAAAAAAATTACTATTTGTTTAAGCACAGCACCTACCCCTTCCCAAAAACTAGAGTAGCTAATTGCTCACTAGCTGTACAGAATTCCAGAAACAGAATTAGCCTCCAAGATTGCATTTACCTTTCTGAAAATTATTTGCATTTCTATTAGGTACAGGAATTCAGAGAATCAGTCTATTATAAATTAGATCTAATTCACTTTGAAAAATGATTAAAAGCTGTCTGCCAAGACACATGAAATGTGTAAATTTTAAATCATGTCTTTGGATTAATCACACTGAAATAAGTTTTTTAAGTGCCAATCAAATAGAGTTTCCTTTCCTAGTATATATAGAATGAAACAAGAAAATACCATATAAGAGCAGTTTCCACACTTGTTTTCACAATATGCAATCTTAATAGCTTCTTCTACATATTGGAAAGACAGGAGGGAATAGGGCAGACCCAGATGATACACTAGACGGCCGCATCTAAGGAGAGAAAGAACTTTGTGGTTACACATACATAACATATACCTAAAATTAAGTATCTCTTCTTATCATACCTTGTTCACATCAATCCAGTGTTTCTGTTCCAAGGAGTTTACAGGCAAAACCAGTATCTGTGTAACAAACGTTTGCCCACTCAACTGCATTGGTCAGTAGTGTGAAGCATGATTTCTGGCTGACATAATAAATCTACTGGCAGAAGCCTCTAGTTTAGTGGCATTTAGAGTAGCAAAGGTACACTCATTACAGACCTATCTTGCTAATGAGGAGGGCTGGTTGCACAGTGGTACAAATCGCCACATGGTTGTTGCATCCTTACAAATGTTTTTATGCAATGTAACATGTATTTTGAGTAGAATGTGCATTGCGGTGCATCCACATTACTGGGTTAGTGTGCATGAGGGGATTTTTATGGTGCCTGTTTGCCGCATGTCTCTACTTGAGTTTTCTGCTATGCACATGACTACACAACTGGTACATTCAAAGGAGCTGGAGTAAGTGCAGAACTTTTACACAAGAGCACCTTGTTAAGTACCCCTCATGCTATGTCAACACATGGTCCTCCAGCTTTAGCCCCCTACACATCTGCAGTGCACATCTAGAACCAGCAACAGGCAAAGACTTCATTGTCAATAAGGGCACAATAGGGACATACATTCCTAGAATCATAATGGATCATGGCCAAACTAGTGCCAAACCAATTCACAGTGTAGGTGCATCCTATGTGTCGACAGCACAGACCTGTTCAACCTTTCAAATGCCGTGGGCCAGGCATCAGACTACATACAGCCTAGTTCTGTTTGGCTGTCATGTAACAGCAGCCTTCCATAACTAGGTGTATTTGCTGCTGTAACATGCAATCACTTTCTAAAGATCATTCCAGTGCTAGTTTCATCCTACAAGTCTAATTTAGCTAAGTCATTCAATTTCATCATATTACCAAAAAAAGTTAAGTAACTTTCTAATTCTTCATTAAATTTAATCGTGCTTCAGTATGAACTGAGAATGTTCATTAGAATTACATAATAGTAATTAGGATGGACATGTTAGAAGTGCAGGACTTGTCGAATAATTTCTATCAATCACATCAAAACTGAAAAATCAGGTTTTCAATTAAAGAGTTATTACTAGTTCTGGCAAAAGATACGTGTCCCAGAATCCTATGAGGAAAAAGCTATTTTATTCCAAAGTTTTTTAACTTTCACCCAAAGACTAATTTTTCCATATGTCTACATGACATTTTCAACAACTACGGTCAAAATGTTTTCATGAGAACTCAGGTAGCTTTTCTCGTTTGATTCTACTTTCACATGCATGGATGTAATGATGTTGTCTGAAAATAAAAACACTGTAAGATCAGAATCATACTATCAAATTCTACATTCAGTTATATTTATCTAAATCCACCGTTATTATAAAGAAAAATTTATTTATCCTGAACTTACTTAAGCAAAAGCAGACTTTTCTTTTGTAGCTTCCTTTTTCCAGTAAATGAAAGAGCTTTACTTAGTGCAACTTAGAAGTTGATTATGATGTTTTTTGTTGTGAGGCAATCAGGTTATTTGCAAATCAATTAAATAACACAGAAATTTACAAAACATTACTCTAAATACATGCAAATATTTTCCTGTGTTGCCCTCTAAACACAGACCTGTCATAGATGAGAAAGTCATCTTTGTTTCCATTTAAGGTAGTCCAGACATCAGCTTGCTGTTCATCTTGCTGGTACACAGTAATATAGTCTGAAACACTCTCTTTCAGTAGGTGAAAATTTCTCTGGGAGTAAGTTCCGTGATGGTTGACAACCACATACGAGATATTGACCAGTCCTTCATTCTCTAACTTCACTCGCAGGTCCTCTAATCTAGTGGAGAATGTAAAGAAACAAGACCATAAATCATTAGAGAATCATAGTATTTTCCACATTCAATAAAATTTAATATGCTCCATCTTGCTTTTATTACAGTGAATGTTATTTTCTCCCAGTTTTAATGGCAACAGTCTAACACTATTAAAACATTTTTCCCTTTTGCCATGACTATCATCAATACTGCCACCATCTACAAGATCTAATATGCCATGGGTCCTGTCCTTGTAAGTACAATGCAGTGCTAAGTAAAGCACACATCTGTTTTCAGACTGAATTCAGCATGATTTTTATTTCAGTTCTTTCACGCTCTCCATGGTGAATAGTCAGAAAAGGGATATTGCAGCAACTGGGTCAAAAGGATGGCTACAGAATGTGTGAATGACCTGTCTGGCAATTATTAGTCTTTCCCTTTGGCATCCCATCATGAAAGTCCTTCTTTGCTTTATAGTACAGAAAGCAGCTTTCTTACTGTACGATGTTGGGTTTTTTTCCTTTTCATTTGCATCCTTCCTGTTAAATTGCTCTAGAAAACTTTTTGTTTGTTTGTTTCAGGAAATAGCCTAAAGCTTAAAAGATTCTTTAAAACCTTTCTAAAATGTACAGAATCAAAGCCACGTACCTTGAAAGCCAGCCACAAAGCCCACTTTTTACTTTGATGTAGCCAGAGATTTACCACCACTTTCTCAAATCTACGTGTTAAAAAACTTGCAGAGACAATTACAATATGAAATTATGCAGCCTAGAGGGGGAAACTAAGATGTTGTTACAGTGATTAAAATCAGGCTTTGAAACCATTTTTAAATCAAAATGATTTCACAATCACGAAGTGGATCCAAGATAAGGGCTGTAGGCACTTCCTGTTTGGGTCAGATCAAAAGTATTTTGTTGCTCATGTTACCGTCATGATACCTAATTATTCGCACAGAAGTAGGTTCTAGAAACCAGAGCACCAATGTCCCACATCTTGTATGAAAGTATAACACTGATGGTTTGCTTGAATGCTTCATCTCTTTTTCAAAAGGCCAGTCTTTAACTTATCTTCTGGATTTTTTTTTATACCTAGGACCTCTGAAAAGGGGCTGGGAAAGCACATCAAAAGCACATGTTTTGTGTTGCTTTTTCCCCTACAGATCTTATATAAAAAAAGAGTGATCACAGATCTCTCTGTTTCAGGTGTCCTAGGCATGTCAGGGAATTATGATGTTTCTTGGCTTCAGCATCTTTGCTACATTAATCATCTGTTGCCAACTGAAGTATAGTCTCGAGTAACTGTTTCTGTTGGGTTTTCATGTGTTTTGGGTTTCATTAATGTCAAGTTGATCATACTTCTGTGTTGGAAATACAATCTGGAGGAGATGATCTGTCTGTCAGGGCGAAGTCAAGAGAAAGAATCTGAGCCACTGACACAGAAGACTCTTGCTGAGAATTAACCTGGTCACTACATCACACATGCCAGCTGGGATGGCGGCATTTGAGGAAGCTAGAGTTCATTGGGTACATTTGATGTTGGGCACGTGTATTATCCTCAGATGGCATTAAAAAATTGACCGTCATATTTTAACAAAAACTGGGAAAGAGATTTATGCTTACCTGGAAGCCTGCAGCAGGCACAAATATCAATTAGCTTTGAGGAGAGCCACCACAGTCACTGAGCCCCTGGAGTTCAGCATTGGATTCTCCTCCCCTATACGCCATTCTGGGGGCTCCTTGCAGTTCTGGCTCTCTGTCCCTCCTCCCGGGAGGACACAGAGAGCCAGAACTAGCCCCAGCCCTGCCCACATGGCTGGGCTTTATCTGAAAAGAGAGAAAATAAACAAAATGAGATCAATGCCTAAGCAAAGTTCAGACACTGAAATTCCCATAAGAAAACACAGCAGGCTATTGGCTCCATTCAGTTTAAAAAAAAAAGCAAAAAACCAAACCAAACCAAAACAAAAACCTGTAAGAATAAATTTGAGCTACTTTGTTTACTGCTTGATCATATTTCTTTCATTTTGCAGTGGAGTCCCCTATAATAAATCGGCAGTATTTTTTGTTGTTGTTGTATGTAAACAGCTGAAAAGTAAGTGTTCAGAATAACTGGATTTTTTTTTAATGCTACTAATCAGACTATGTTGTTCCTTCCCCTTTGTAATTTCTTTTTGACTGTTCTTAACACTTCAGTGATTTTAAAGTGGCCTCACTTCTTGTGTTTTCAAATCAGTTGTGCTGAGCCAGTTTACAGCAGTAAGAATCTACACCAGTTCATTCCAGATTGCAGAGTAATTCCACCGACTTAAAAGTACTTAGATCAACAGTGTATTTTGGTATACAGCAAGTATTACAGAACCTGGCAGAGATTTAAAAAAAGACTTAAAGATTTTTACAAGTCAATCTGTAGTATTTGGATCCCATTGAGAAACACCTCTTAAGAACACAGGCACTAGAAATAATTTTGCAAAAACAGGAAATTAAAACAGTTTCAGGATTCCTCAGATCTTACAAAATCTCCTACCCACATCAAGTCCATTTAATGTTTATGAAAATCAAAGCATATGAGAAATTCTGTAATTATCGTTTCCTTTTATTCCATTAACATAATAATTTTGGCATAGTATGTTCAGAAAACACCCATTATTGAGAAATATATGAAATTATAAAACTGCTCCCCAACATGTCCTAGGTTGTGGAACTGTGTAATTTCATCACTCACATTAGTCTGACAGTCAACACAGAATGTTTTGGAAACACTAAGTTCTGATAAATAACATGCATTTAATCGATCTTGTTATATTCTAAAAAAATTAAAACTTTTCAATAATTGATCTTTTAAAACAAAAGCCAGCCACCGCAAAGCCAACATAATTTGTGAAATCTGTCTGTCCTTAATGTTTCTTTCCTGCAGTTCTACCAAAAGCATTTTAGGTATAGTACTTTGAAGATTAAACTGTGAGCCGACAGCTATCAGAAGGTCCTTTTTTTTTTTTTCACACATCTGGAAAGCTGCCTGCCTTTATATCCATTATAAACACATGAAACTCCTGTGACATCTTGAGATCCTTCTATGCCTTTATAGCCTTCTGCACCACTGGCATACAGCTCCCAGCAATAGCTGCCTCACCCTGTGAACTAGAGGAGAACTATGTTCTGAATTATACTTCTCTTCGCATTTCAACTTTCTAGTTGGTTTCCAACGGAAATTTCCACAGCCTTTTCAGCCAAAGAAACAAGCAGACACTCTGCCAAATCTTAAGTCATGAAGCTCTCTCACAGCAAGACCAGCACACTTACCCTTTCCTCTCCCTCCTCCTTGGCAGCTCTGCTTAACTCCACTGCAAAACAAAACAGTGTGGGCAAAGGGCTGTGGTATTTATACAGCTCTTGTTTATCTCACTTTGCAGATACGGTTCAAAGTTCAGGGAACTTACTCTGAATGACCTTGCAAGCAAAGCAAACCACTTTAGCCAAAGTAGCCAAAATATTTATCTGTTAACTAATTCCCAGTGGAACACATTTATCATGCAGAATAGCAAGGTATTTTTAATATAATGACCTTGAATATCAGATTATGCAGTTGGTCAGTCACCCCAGTTAGCTGGAGGTAGTGGTACAGTCAGAAGAGGAGGGTGGGCCAGAGAGTCATTATTTTCTGAACACTGTGGTAACCACAGTGAGACGGGGAAGCTACTTCTCTATTAAAGTGCTGAGCTAGCAGTTTTTTCTCTCATATACTTTATCTGATATTTGCCTTAGAGAATGGTGTACCCTGTCTGAGGGCATGTGCAGTACAGAGCACAGCTGCTCTTGATTATGTCACTTGGCTTTAAAAGATTTCTGTAGAACGTGATAGTTTATCAACTTCTGCTGAAGGTCAGAGCCCACATCTTCAGCCATTTAAATCAATGTAGCTACATGAAAGCCATGAAGCTCTACCAACTGGCAATAGCCACTTAACTCTCTGTATTACTCTGTTACATTTTCTGAACACCATCATCGCTGAGCTATCTGCAGGCGTTCAGGTTAAACTGTTTCCTTACTCTTTACTCGGTGAGAGAATTGTTTATGCATGGCATGTTTTATTTTGACAGAAGTTTGCCTGAGTTTGGTTTCTTCAATGTACATGTTATGTGTGTTTATGGAGAAAAAAATGTTTAAAAACTTGGTGTGCCCTCAGAGTTTAAGGTGGTGAGATTTATATTGCTTAGTTCTATGGCCTGAAACTCTGCCTCCTGCACAGATAAACTTTATGCTTCTGATTGGGTGTGAGAAATGGAACCGCTGACCTTGGGATTTATCCTGTAGAAGTTCTGTGTTCAAGTCAATGGAAAGAAGGACAGAGATCTAAAGTTTTATTCAATAGTTTTGGAGGACACAATGTAGAACACAGGCAGAGGTCAGACTGGGACTGGATGTTTTTTAAATGGTGAAGTGTGCTCACATTCCTTATATTGTTAGGGAAACACGTCCCTGTATTCTTTGCTGTGTTGGGACCGAGCTCTCACAAGTGTGATGGTGTCCTTTACTATTCCAAATGATAGATTATTTGCTGGGCCTCCTGCCTCAGGATAGAGTCTTGGTGTTTTCAGTGCTAATAAAGTCCTGCAAGCTTGGCTGGAAGTAAGTATTTGGTATACATCATGTCTGTCAATTCCTAAATAAGCACTGAAGCAGCCAAAACGAAATGAAGCAGGTACAGATCTGTTAATAGGGAGAGGAATAAAATGCAGCTCAGTACTGATTGACAGTTGGTCTCTTACCAATTTTTGCAACACAGGTGGAGATACTGTCAAATAAAAAGTAATATTCTATTCCCATTTCTTTTTCAGCTTTGTAGACAGTGATGTGCACAAGGCTTGATTAACAAGTGCTGAGCCTATAAGCTATACGTAATACCACTGAGTGCTGCTGAGACTAGCAGCTCACCAGTACTGAAGAATAAATGGTCCGGACAGAGTAAACTGTGCTCAAGCAGCGAACTTATAAGAGAGCTACCTTGCTATGGAAAGCACATTGAGGATAGAAATGTACAGTGGTCACTACTGAAAAGTTAGGATTTCCTCCCATATAGTATGCAGAAACACCTGTAGACCCTCAGTTTCCTTACAGAGACATGAGAAGCTGCTGTTGTTAACAATTATCACTGCACCAATAAATATTGTTTATTGTATTATTTGTTATTATATTACATTATATTTATTATAACCTTTATAATATTAAGGAGAGCTTAACTACATTCATAGCGATAAGTCATAAGCATCTTGCTTTATAACATTCACCTTACCTGAGATGATTGTTCTGCCTCAAGATTTATTGAGGAAAAAAGTTCCTCTGTCTTAAAGCAAGTGGAAAGGGATATTACAGTGTTGGCTGTGGGTTTAGATAGATCTAATTCAGTTGTTTTAGAAATGTATAAACCCTCAAGATGTTTAAACTTCAGTCTGAAGCATTACCTTTTCTGTGTGGAAAAAAATCCACTTCCACATTTTTTTTGCAAACAGCCGAATAAAGATGTTGATCATTATTAAATTTACAGTCTAAGAATCTCACCATTCTATTTCTTGTATTAATCCCCCTTGAATTCGTAGGCACCTGTAGCCCTTTGTCCATAGCTTCTAATGAAATAAATGTCTTAAATCTTAATTTTGCTTTCCGCTGTCAGTATTTTCTTCGTTGTTGAGTATTGTTCCAATCTCACAGCAGGAGGCAGTTATGAACTCTGATTTGGACAAGTCTTCAGTTTCAAACAATAATTTTTATAATTATCATCCTGTTCCTACTCACTTTCGTTCTTATTTGGGGAGAATAATGGTCCTGGTGGAAATAACAGCCCCCTTCCCTTCTCATTAAACATAAACTATTTCCGTTTTTGATGTGTTTCAAACCTTTCAAAGCATCACAGCACAGAAATAGCACTGTCTTTGGAAATTAACTGATGTTTGTTATTTCTGTTATCTAGATTGGTAACTTATACATTTCTTTAAAAAAATCTCAAATGGACATGGAATTATCAGACTGACAGTAATTATATTCTGCTAAAGTCTGCTGTAGTGATTTGCAACATGTGCAAATAATGAGAGGACAGAGATAATGACAGAACAGAGATCCAGCACAAATTCTATCATGAGACCTTAGGACTTAAATGTCTGTTTTGCTCTTGTGACTGAAGGATGTCACAAACAGGGAATTCAAAGTCCACTGGCAGATAGTTAAGTCTCTACTGATTCTTCTCATGTCTTCTCATTTTGTAACAGTGTAACTATGTCAACTCAGTAGAGTTACTAATACTTACAGTGGAATAAATCGCAACAAGAACAGGCTGTTGAGGTTTACTTACTGCTTATATAAACAAATTTCCATTAGTTTACGAGGCCTTAAACTCTTGCTTAAATACTGTAAATAAAGAGTAATTTAAGTGAAGGCTAAGAAGATACATTAAAGTAAAGTAAATTCAGCAAAATAATTAGAACCAAAAGTTCATTAGTTAAAGTAACTCCAGAAAGGATAGTGATGCAATATTGGTCTCATGCTCCTCTCATGTGAGATCCAAAGCAGGGTAAGATAACTAAATGCATACTTCTCAGAATTCAAAGGAAGCCACAAAAGCTGACATCCTCTGATACAGGCCTGGAGATCATTTCAGTCAACAAAGGAATAGCTGATACATGCAATTGTCTAGTTAAAAACAAAATGAGTCTTAAAGGAACTCTGACCTAGTAGATAAATGTTCTGGTTTTCTGTTTGGAAATTCCATTATAATAATGAAGTATCTTCCTCTACTTGAACTATCTGTACTTTCTCTATCTGA